GAATGATTTACTGGCAAGCTAGGATCCCAAGACAGAAGTGGTTATTGTTGATTATTGCTTCAGCTTATTTTTAAGTATATGGCAGCACTGCTTATAATTTATTAAATGGGATTATAACTGCCGTGGGGGATTTGAGTCGGATCAATGGAAATGTTTAAAAATAAAAATAAACTAACTATCAGCATTTCTTCAATTCTAATGACTAACAGCAGATATATTTATTTTTTAAAGCTTCATAATTCTTCAAGCCATCTTCATAAGTTGCAGAAATAGATATAACTTTGTTTTGTTATTTAGTTTTGTTTATCCAATTAAGAGTTCTTTACAGAGGAAAAGTATGAAAGGGCACATTTTAAAAAATCTATAATTTGTGGTATTTAACCATGCATTACTAGTAAGAAAGATAATGGCTTCCATTTGGTGAGCAAGTATGCTTCATGTATTTCACTCTGGGAATGAATTTCAACAAGTATGACTATCACTGATTTATAGAACAGGCAACTGAAAGTCAAAAACTTTTAGGTCATTTGCTCAGGCCATGGCTAGAACTATGATCTGAATCTGAGTATCTGTGATTCTAAAGTTCTTTCCCTGTTCTCTGTTGCCTCTTTTTAAAGAAAAAAAAGACTAATAAGTGTCTACTGATTTTATGGGCCCTCATAAAATCGCCAGAGCTAAAAATTAACTCAGGGGAAAAATTTTTTTTTACCCCATATATAACTGAAGCAGAATGTAATGAAGCATTCATCAAAGTTCATTAAGAAACAGCAATATTCTAAAGGAGAGATAGTTTCATTTGAAATATATGAATTTAGAGATAAATAAAAAGGAGAAAGAAAATGCAAAGAGTGATCTGTGAAAGCATTTAGGACGGATACATAAGAGGATAAATTTGGCCTATACCATTCTTCTTAGAGATATAGGACGGTCATAACAGTTATTCTAGAGGGTCCTTTTAAATATGTGCAAAACAGAAATGTTGGGAGGGCATTCAAAGTATTAGAAGAAAGCCTTCAGAGTATTTAACATTCTGAGAGAATCCCTTTCCTGAGGAAATGGGTTAAGAACTTTCAGCTAGAAAAGAAAGAGTGGTCCAAGCACCTGAGCTTAGCTGCAGTTGGCGGCATGTGTTCCTTATGTCAGATGTAGAAAAGCCACATCTACCCCTCAGCCCTACTGGAGAGCTGATCTGTCATCTAAAAGGACATACCAACCACTTCCTGTACCTGATTCAAATTGCTTCCTAAAAACATTCCACTGTGGCATGAACACCTGTCAGCCCAGAGCAATCAAATCAATGGCAATTGTAGCTACTAATACTAGATGATGAGATTATCTGAACAGCTCAGAATAAGGCATCCCCAAGAAGAACACTAGAGAAACCATTATAGCAAAAAAAGGAAAGAGACTCTAAACTGCACACCCTAAGTTAAGAAGAGAATAAAGGCAGAAGGCTGTATTTTCTCTCAAATTTGACAGTAAGGAATGCTATTACCAGAATTAATTAATGGACATTTGGGGTGGCCAACCTGAATTCTTTTGACAAAAATAAGTGTCCCACCTGACACTAGTAGGAGTCATGACTGGCTCATTGTAAGAGTTCTAAATATTCTAGATATTAACTTAATTTCCAAGGAATATCAGTAACATGTTCTATATTATCATCAGCCTAAGCAGCTTTCAAAAAGCATGTAACAATGGCGAAAACTCAGAAGCAGGAAGTATAATTAAAGAGTGAAAAATTCAAAACTCTTCTGGACATTGATCTAGGCAAAGACTTCATGACTAAGACCTCAAAAACACAGGCAACAAAACCAAAAATAGACAAATGGAAATTAATTAAACTGAAAAGCTTCTGCAGAACAAAGTAAATAATCAACATAATAAAAAGACAACCTACAAAGCAGGAGAAAAAATTGCAAACTATGCATCCAACAGTGAACTAATATCAATTTACAAGGAACTCAATTCAATAACAACAACAATAATAATTTCATCAAACATAAGGCAAAGGATATGGATACACATTTTTCAAAAGAAGACATACAAATGGCCAACAGGCAAGTTAAATAATGCTCAACATCATTAACATCACAGAAATAAAAATTAAAACCAGGATGAGATATCACCTTACATTAGTCAGAATGGCTATTATTAAAAAGATAATAACAGATGTTGGCAAGAATGCAGAGAAAAGAGAACTTTGAAATACTGTTGGTAAGAATGTAAATTAGGACAACCTCTATGGAAAACAGTATGGAGATTTCTCAAAGAACTAAAAATAGAACTATTATTCGGTTCAGCTATCCTACCACTAGGTATCTACCCAAAGGAGAATAAAATCATTATATCGAAAACCTACTTGCACTCATATGTTCATAACAACACTGTTCACAATAGCAAAAGTTAGAATCAATGTAAGCATCTGTCCGTGGAGGACGAGGAAAAGAAAATGCAGCATATTTTCTTTTCACAACAGAACACCATTTAGTCATAAAAGTAATAAATTTATATCTCTGCAACAATATGGATGGCGCTGGAAGCTGTTATCTTAAGAAAAGCAAGTTAGACACAGAAGGACAAAAAGACAAGTTCTTACTTATAAATGGGAGCTAAATAAAGCATACACATGAGCATGGGCTGATGGACAATGGAGACTCAGGAGAGTGAGGAGGTGGGATAAGGGTGGATGATAAGAAACTATTCAGCGGGTACAATGTACATTATTTGGGTGACGGATGTTCTAAATGCCCTGAGTTCACCACTAAGCAATCTATGCATGAAATGAAATTACACCTGTACCCCCAAGATTTATACAAATAAAAAAAAATACAAAGATTGAAAAATCCCCAATAGTGTTAGATTCTTTGACCTGATGGCCGAGACTCCTATAATGTTCTCTGATGTAGCTTTGCTGAACTTAGTTTTGCTCCTTCACATACAACTTAAATGATACAGGACCAAGTTGAGATTCACATCATCACCATCAGATTCTATCAGCCTAACTATGCCAAAGCACACTTTGCAATATTCCACCGTAACCTATGTCCAACTTAAGATTTATTTCTTAATCTAATGCTTAGAACACCACAATTTCTGACATAGCAACATTAGCATCCATTTTGAAACCTGGGCAAACAGCTCAAACGCCACTTCTACCTAATAGCCTAAATGTGAAGAGCTCTGTGACACTGAAAAACAAGAGTCACTTTCTTTTTTTTTCATTTCTCATCAATGCAAAGCACAGCAACTTCAACGAATTGAGTAATGTTGAATTTAAAGCCAGCAGTCTAAAAATTACCCCTAAAACTGATCCTTTTCACCATGACAGCCCATCAAAGACCTCCAAAAGTCTCACCATTTTTGACCTATAAGACCAAGGTAAAGTAGCCTGCAGTTTTTATCTCATAAGAAAACAAAATGGAAAACACACACATATACACACACATACAAAAACATTTTACTATAACATTTCATTTACATTGCCACTGGAGAAACAAGCTGAAAGACCAAAGCCTTTCCCACATCAAGATGCCCTGATTCTACTGCAAGTAGTCAAAAGAAAGATAATTCTTTGTGCATGCAGAAATGACTAAAGATGCCGAGTTGTAAACTGCAGTCATTTCCTTACACTGCACACATGCAGAAGAGCAAGCTGGTCCCAGGGGTGAGGTCAAGATAGAAGCCATCATTGATTTGGTTCTATCTTATAGCCCTAGTGTCACCAAAAGTCTTAACTCTCGGGCAGTCAGCTGACAGCTTACAGCTACTTTGATCTGCTTTTGTTTGAACTGGAGTTTGGAATTATGTTGCTTCCAGGCCCAGTTCCAGTGTTCTTGTTTGGGTTTTAAACTTCCTTAAAATGAATGAATCACTGAGCCGGATATTACCTAAGAAACAAAATTTTAGAAACAGCTTCCAGCTCTGTGTTGCCAATCTTTATTAAAGATTTTACAACCTCATCAGAGAAATACACATTTAAACCAGTGATATAATTTTTCACATATCAAATTGGTATTTAAAAAAATAGTAATAGCCAGAGTTGACAATGATAAAATCAGAGTAAAATATTAATGGGTACCACTTTTCCGGTTGAAATTTGGCAAAGATATTATACCCTTTTGACCTGGTAGTTCCATTACTAGGAATGCACCCTAATGCAATAATCAGTGATGTAGACAGTAGTATACAGATAAAGAGGATCTGTATGGGGCCATGTATAATAAGGAAATACCAGAAGCATTCTCAAGAACAGGGATTAGACCAATACATTATTGCACATCCATCTTTTGAAACACTTTCAAGCATAGAAAATTAAGGATAGCAACATATTGCCTATAAAACATTAATATAATTTACTACACAGCATTGCATAAAATAAGGTAAAATAAATTTGATTGCCTTCAAATTTATTAATAAATCACTCTTTTCAATAAAATTCCAGTACAATGAGAGCTCCTAGGCAGTCACAGATTTGAGGTCAACTTCAAAATGAAACTAAGGACAACAGAGTGTTTTGGGGACAATATGTCTGAACTAGCCAGATGTTCCTTTTAGGATCTTTTAACAGCTATTCCCTTGCTGAGTCTCCAGCCACCAATTTTGAACAGGCCTCTGATTCAACTCATACCAGGGTTTACAAAAGAGAAAGATTGTAGTAGAGTGTAGCAGAGTGTTAAACTGAGCCACAATCCCAGCAGGTGGTTCCCATTAGAAACTGATGACATATCTGGCTCACAAAAAATTCAAGGTATTTATAACTAATCATGCCCCCCAATTATATCGTATTCAATTTTTTGTTATAAGGAATTATTTCCAAAATAGAGTAAATATTACTTATTAAGCTCATTTCACAGCCTAAATCACATTTTTTAAATCTTACAAGACTGAATTTGAGACGTTGCTCTAATATAAAAAATTCAGTATTGTAATTAACCACATCCTACTTTTTAAAATATATCCACCCAAAATACATGAACAAGTTCACAAGCAAAACTCACATAAAAGAATCCAAGTGGTCCAGATATATATGGCATTTTCATTCCCAAGAGATACTTGACTTGCGATGTCAGGACATGGGTGGCGGCCCCAGTTGTCATCGCGCTGATCACAGGCTCTGTAAGCAGGAAAGTGGCACTGCCTAGCTGCAGCACAAACATGGCCACCTGGGAAGACACAGCAAGAGTCAGATGCCAGGCACAGATGACATCACCCAAGGTCCTAAAGGGATTAGTATCTGACACATTTTCATTTGCCTTTTACAGAGACATAAAGAGCCAATGAAGAATGGGTTTCTTAAATTTTCTATAGTCTCTATCTTGAGTTTTCTTGATAACATTTCAAATGTTAATAGGTACAATGGAAGTGCCTCAGTAAAAATTAACACAATTTTTTTTGTATAGTGACTTTTCTGTTTTAATCTTTTCCTAATTCTACATGTTACAAAAAAAGGTAAATATATTCAAACCAGTTAATATCTTAGTCTACATAGAAAAAGATAAAATTTGCATTGCTATATTATGATTTTTTAAAAAAGAAAAGGATATGATTTACTGTTTTTACTGTTTTATACCCTTTAAGTATAAAACTTCAAAATTAATGAGGAGAGAAAACCATTCCTCAAGTTTCTCCCAGGTTCTGAAAAATGTGATCATACTATTTGACTAGATATTCTGTCAAGCACTCTAAAAAGCTAATATTTAGTAAAAATGAAGAAATAAAACAGGACTTATTTGTGTATAAGGAACAGCAAAACAGAGATAGGGTCAATATATTCTTAGAAAGACTAGAAGCCAGTATAAAAAGCATTTGTTTAAACATTTCCTTGTTATTCTAGCATCACCCTCCCTCTCAAATCACTTCATGACTAGACAAAATCATTAAATCTGAGTAGAAATTGTGCATTGAGCTCTGCTAGGCAAAAGAGGGCAGAAAGAATCGAAACTCGCTAAGTCCATACAATTAGTGTTCTTCCATTGCAAGAGAGACACCTTGCAGAAGATGGCCCACTCTTTGACATAATACAATTGTGTGATCTGACTCATAAAACTGCAAAAGCAAAATGTACTGTTTTGAAAATAATGATTCATGAGTGTCCACACTGGAAAGGGAGAAAACTAGATCATGCTGACATAAACTCTTAATGTGTTAATTATAATATTTAGGTCAGGTCTTAACATTCTTGCTGGAAAATGAGATTAACTATTAAATAAATCAAGAGGGAAGAATAGCAACCAGATTTGCTTCCATCAAGAGGTCATGGTGATGAAAATGAGAAAAATGAGAAGTATACAGTGCTACCTTGTACCACCAGAGCACACACTGCAAAATATATGATTTCTATATTTTGATAATATTACAACACCTCCTGGCAAAATCAGTGATGCTCTGAACTTGCATTAGAGTTCCCAGGCCTCAAATCTGCAAGCTTCAATTCTGGGTTGTACCACATTCTACCTCTGTGACTATGAAAAATCCACTGAAATTCTCCAAGCCTCATGGTAATATAAATTATTAGAGTGATATCTGTCCTATCTTTTAGAGGTGTTAGAAGGTGGCTGTAAAATAATATACACAAAGGCTTTGAAACCCGTAAAATGTGAAACTTATGTGATGTAGCAAGAACATTACGGGGTCTCATACATATGTACCCGGGATGAGAAAGCAGCCATCAGTTTTTAAAATGTAGAAAGGGCCCCATACCACATTTTCCAGCTCTGTAGAACGTGAACAATTCTATCAGTGCAGAAAGAAAGAAAGGTGAATTGTTTGTGGCTTAGCAGCCACCTTTTATCCAACATGTAATGAAGAAAAGAATATGTGTTGCCAATGTAGAAATCAGGAAATGTTACTGCCAACATGGGAAGCCAGAGCAGCAGCTTCTGCTGCAAACATGTTTTTCAAAAACTGTGTCAATTTGTCAGAGTAGAAATATTCTCAGGGACATACCCAAGCAATGAATTATCCTGGTACAAGAGGAAAACAGTGATCTTTTTGGCAATTCTTGATTATAGTCTATTGGTTTTCATCCTGAAATACAATCAGTTAAGAAAAACATTGCACCAGTTATTCTCAAGTATCTCTATGCTAGTAAGTTAGTTCCAGTGTCTGGCATTAACTTACAGGCCGTGAGGATGAAATTAGCATAGTTACTATTGGGGTTCAATGAAAACCAGAGACTTGGATACTCATTTCGGCTAAATGCAACATATAAGTGATCCAAATCCAAAGACTTGATGAAATCAAATTGATGAATTATGAAACCCATTTGCATACATGGAATTTTATGCAAAATTGGAATGTTAGAAAATACATATATCTGTACGCCAAATAATCTTATCTTCAATTATTTTGAGAAGCAAACTTTTGGACGGTTCTTACAGAGACCCACACCATTTTATCTTCTGTTTTCCATTTGTTCCCAAATTTCAGTGCTACTTAGAAGCACAGAAATTTGGGCAACAAATGATTTGCCCTGCCTAAGAAACAAAGGACACCTAACCTCAAGTGATCACCATCAACTACCTCCAGGTATATCATTATCTTCTGGTAGCAACTTTTTGTCACTTCCACAACCTAAAAGTACAACAGAAGTGTTCAGAAAAGTACAAGGTATAAAGAGTTCAACCATTTCAACCCTTAAAAATAAAGGAACCCAGTTTGGTGCCAGTAGCATAGTAGTTATGATGCCAGGCACATACACTGAGGGTAGTGGGTTCAAACCCGGCCTGGCCAAGCTAAACAATTACAACAAAAAAATAGCCAGACGTGCGGCAGGCACCTGTAGTCCCAGCTACTTGTGAGGCTGAAGCAAGAGAATCGCTTAAGCCCGAGAGTTTGAGGTTGCTGTGAACTGTGACGCCACAGTACTCTACCAGTCTCTTACATAGTGAGATTCGGTCTCAAAATAAATAAATAAATAAATAGAACCCATCTTGTAACAAATAAGAAAAGCTAGAGATGGAATATCCTCTTTTAAAACATCCAAAGACTCACAATACTTTTGCCGTATTCTGCTTGTGCACATTTTTATACTTAAAAAAGTTCCTTCCATCAAGGGATAAATCTTTAAAACAGAGAGTTCTTGAAAGGTCAACAAGTCCCTTAAGACCTCATTTCTGATACAAACCGTTGAGTATGTGAAGGATGATTGCAAACATGTGAGATTTAACCAGCAGAAATTACCCTTTCTAGATAACAACGTTATCCATAACCCAAGACAATGGCAGATATCTTAACTAGGAGCAGAAGGAAGGGAAGGAGTATGGAAGGAAGGGGAAGGGATAGGGAGAATGGAGATAAGAGATTTAAAAATTCCCTCTTTCCCCAGCACCCAGATGTCAACAGTTTATTGGCATTGAAATTAGGGACCTGGCATATAGGGACTGACAACTCATTTTGAAGGCAGCAACTGTGCAAGAAACACAGACTTTTCAAGAGGGACCCACAGATTAAACTATGTATATCTTTAGCCTTACATATATAAGAATGGGGGTCCTTTAGCCTTAAGCATATAAGAATGGGGGTCCTTCTAGAATATTTTGCTTGGAGGCTCAGTATTTAAATTTTCTACTAATATCAAGGATTTTTTAAAGCTAATGAATTAATAAATAGCCACATCAGCTCCTTTTACTAATAATATGGATGATAATAATTCTGATTCAGCTTGCCAACTCCCAAAACCTGGCTATGCAACATTTTATGAGAAAATAAATTCTGTACAATGTGTTTCAGCTATTTGGAGTAACGCTGATGTTCTGAGTTAATGTTGGGAACCTCTGACATGCATTATCAAGGTTCACTAGCATGATGCTATTTGGTAATGCTTATATAAACCCCACGTGTTCTGCACAAATTGAACGTATCTCGGATTTCAAGCCATTTTTTGGAAGTAGCCTTCAAAAAAGTTTTTTTTAAAAAAAAAAAAAAAGAGAGAATACATGGAAAACAATTATTATTATCCAAGCAGGTGGAACATAGCATGAAATTCAGGTTATGTTGGTTTGTCTGCAATCTGCTGTTACACTAAACCGAGTTACTTATTTGTCCATCCAATGAGTATTTATTGACTACCCAGTAGAAGCTAGGCACAGCATTGTCGCAGAATATAGTTCACAACTTAAAGAATGATATAAAGCGAGGTGAAACAATGATGTTGGGAAAGGGAAATGTTAACTGGGGCCATAAAGAAGAATAATATGAGCAATTGTCAGGTAAAGTCTGAGCAGCTATTCAAGTGAGGCCTGAATAGCTAAAGAGCCTTGTGTTGTTTTCTGAGCAGTATATGCAGGTTTAAGGGAAAGAGTTAAATTGATCATGACATTAGGAAAACAAGTGAATGCTGCATAGAGATATGGCAGGAAAAAAGTATCTCCATGACCAGAAGACTTGAGAGAAAATATTAGCAAATGGAAACCTATTTATGTGTTGTAAAATTCAGAATATAAAACCCTCTTCCATACTACGTAGTGATAAAAAGAAATAAGCTATCAAGCCATGCAAAGACATGGATAAATCTTACATGCATATTGAAAGAAGACACATTGAAAAGGCTCCACGACCGCATTTAAATGACATTCTAGAAAAGATAAAGCTACGGAGATAGTAAGCACATCAGTAGTTTCCAGGAGTTTGGGAATGAAGAAATGTATAGAAGTGAAACATTTGGGATTATTAGGAGGGGAAACTATTCTGTATGATTCTGTAATGGTGAATATGTGACACTATGCATTTGTCAAACTCCATAGATCTTATAGCACAAGTGAATGTCAATATATATGCAAATTTTAAGACATTACTTAAGAGGGAATCTCAAGTGACCCTCAATAGCCAAAATACTCTTGAAAAGGAAAAATAAAACTGAGAACTCAAACTTCTTGATTTTTTTTTTTTTTTT